ATTATCTTTTCTTTTGCAATCTAAAATGTTGAAGTATGTTTTGTTTCTGGTTTTATTGAAGGCGATTCGCTTATATATCATGCTGGGATGAAGTTCTCCACTTATGATATGGATAATGATGGTTGGAATGATGGAAACTGTGCAGAATCTCACACAGGAGCATGGTGGTACAATGGTTGTGATACAAGGTGAGCACAAATAATCAAGCTCAGAAAGAACTGAAACATGATGGCATATTTTAACAGCTGATACAACAGATATTAGATATTTTCATAACTAAAGGAAAGTACATATTTCAGATACAAAATGTCACCTGTCAGCAAATAAGCAATCATAAAAATTAACGAAAATTTTCCACATCAGCTACATTTTTCTGAATGGTAAAGAACATTTATAAAATAAAAGAAGAAATAGACAATGTGCATTATAAGAAATACCTTTCAGCTTAACTTCCGGAAAAATAATAAAGCAATAAGAGAATGTTCACCTCCATTATAGTAAAGAACCAAAAAAATGTTTACCCTTGTTACAACAATAATTGACCTCATTTTATTGAGAAGCGTTTTAATCTGGTAAATTAAGAAAATCCACAACAAAAATTAGCCATATTCACTCTATTTTAATACCTTTATATTTCACAAAGTCAATAAGCAAATCAATTTTAAAACACCATATAGCCCAACCAAGAACAGATTATCATACAAAAACCACTTTCCAATCCTTTAAAATAATATTGTCTTTAATATATTAGTAATCAATAATTATTAATATTCAATTTCTTTTCTTATTTATTAGCAATTTAAATGGGCGCTATCTAGGAGGAGAATTAGTAGGAGATTATGAATACCAAGGCATTTATTGGTATGACTGGCGTGGTCCAATGTATTCCCTTATGAAAACACGAATGGCAATTCGACCTACTACAGAGGCCCATGCTCCCCTTAACGACATTAAAGGAGACAAAAAGCCCAGTGGACAAGATAAGCAACGTAACAAGACAACACCAAGTCCACCACATGAAAGCAGAGAAGAGACGACAATTTCAAACCAACCATCACAGCATATTATTTCTGATGACAGTGATAACTTGGAGTATTGAAACAATAATAACACAGGCCTGCAAATTTAAGGTTCAATAAAACATGTTTTAAATTTGTATGAAATTATTCCTTGGAGTGCTGACTTAATAACTGAATCAGTTTTATTCCATCACATACCATTTTTCTCATCTCATGATCTTTTAGCTACTCAAAATTTGCCTTATTACACTAATAAGGATATTTGATGAAATAAAATGTTTTCTGGAAATTATCAGTTATAATTTTTACAACACAAATCATTACGCATCATCTTCACATACAGAAACTTAAATTAAGTGTCATGTGAGATCTTTTTCTATTCTGAGTGAAGCTGTGAATATAGCTTTTGTCTTATTATGCTCTGTAATGTGCCCCATGTACAATTCAGAAGTAGCCTATCATCAGGTTTATGGTCCACCAAACGTGTTAGATTTTTTTCCAACTCCATAATATCTTGGTGGATATCCTTGATCCTCATTCATCGCACTAAGGGTTTCAGGAAAAATCTAAATGTGCATACAGAGAGTGAATCTTCTGACCTCATCAAACACAACAAGTCTTAGAAGCTCTTCAGCGAATTATTAACAATCATCATATATTTCAAATCTTTTTTGATTCCTAGCAAAAATCTTAACCGTATTTTTAAATGATATCCAAGTTCTTATTTGAAAATCTCTTATCGTTGTGGTAAATTCTTTATCTGATATTACTTTTCTCATGTCTAAACCAATGACTGACCTCACTGATTGAAAGGTTTGGAAACTTCACAGCATTACGAAAAAAGCAAGTTCCAGTTTTTGGTAGACTTTCAGTAAATTGTTTTGCATGTCCCAATTTTATATGCAGATGTGGCAGAAGTATTTTCTTTGCATCAAGATCTTTTCTCAAAATGTTGCATCAAGATCTTTTCTCAAAATGTCCTTGCTTCGTTGTTCATAAGTGGAGGACAATTGTGATTCGTTCCAATGTTGCATTTTCACATGGCTCTCCTATTCCAAAGAAACCCTGGACACTTAGTATACTCAACTTCTGTCCAAGAATGAACAAAATCATCAGATCTTCACCTATCACCCATCTGTTGTTCTGTGATTTATAAAGACCAGTTCAATGAATTACTTGTCAGTCTTCTATTTTGTGTTCAATGTTAACTTTTTTATTAACCCAGGGATATTTCTACAGTATACTATAACACCATCCCTTGAAACATAACATGAGAATTCTTCTACTTTGGTACAGATAAAAAGTTGTTTTTACTGCCAACAAATTCTTCTTTTTTAACTTGGAGTACAAGAGTTCGGTTTTCTCTTTACTTCGACCAATGTTCTTATTAAATTGTTGGGTTAACCCTGAGAGAATAGTTTAAGGCTGCATTTGATATCGCTGAAGATTTGATATTCGTTGTGTGAACACAAAACACACATTCTAAATACTTGAGTGGTTCAGGAACAGACACTTCTGGTCCATGAGCAATAGGAAGTAAAGCAGAGGGGTTTGGATTCACAATTACTTTCTTATTTCTAGTATTATAGCCCAGCAGCAGCAGCACAGCACACAGCAGCAAAAGTAACAATATTACTTTGCTCCTCCATACCACGGGAGCTCCAAATCTAAATGATTTCTTTTTATCTTTAGACTACAATCTTAGATCTTTAAATAGATTAAACACTTTGTGAGATACCCATGATTTGATTTGATCAACCAGCTTCACATTACAATAAGCAAAATACCCTCTTTTCATAAACTCTGAATATTTCCTTTTAGTAATTTCACCATAAATATACTAAAAGTTGTCTCATAAACTCTGGAAATAAATTTCAAGGTTTTGTAAGTAAGGCATAAAATACATAAAATGCAGCTACTAAGTGCCTACTCTGCAGCCAATGACTGTATAATAAATAGTGAAGAGGAGGTTCTCACTTTTTCTGTGAACATCATTTTGATTTGTGTAGCCAGCTTGTAAGTCAGTGTTTCACTTACTGTATTTACATACTGTCATTGGGAGGAAAAACTCAGAAGTTCAGAGCATCAGCAAATTGTACATATGCTTAACTGACAGTGATCTATTTAATATATCAATGTCAACTTGTGAAAAAACAGTGCATTCACATCTTAGATTTCAATAAACAAAAATACATAAAAGACAGTTGAATTTTTCAAAAAAGTTTTTACCGCAGGCCTGTGTAATTAATGAACATAAAATTTACAAACGTTTAGTTATATAAAAATTCAATAAGCTATATATTTTTATTGAATAAATGTATCTACAATGGATGTATCTACATAGAAATAACATACATATTCCAAAATTCAGAAAGCCTCAGAATAAATTTTACAAACTTCTAGGACTTAATGGGGGTTGATTATGATATTTTTTTTTTCATTGAGCGTTAAGTAGAAATTCTCATTTAAGGATATCACAAAATGCAATTTTGAACACTATGCCCCTGACTGGTAAACAACTAATCCTGCGCAGGTGTTAGGCAGGTAGAAGGAGGAGTTTGGCAGGCCTACCAATCAGGGGCACAATGTTTGCAATTGCATACCTTCATAATATTCCTACGTGTACCTTCATAATATGAGTTTACCCACCACAAGCAAAAAATAATCATTGACAAGCATTGCCTTCAACAAGTCCCAGAAAAGTGTAATATTTATTTTGAGACTCCTGAAAAACTGGTGAAAGAGAGCAGAGGAAACAAATTACAATTGAATAAGTTTCTCTCATTTTTCACATCAAGTCAAGTTTATACTACCTTATTAATCAAGTTTATACAAATTTATTCAAAGAACAAAAGAAATAATGAACAAATGTTAAATATTAGTATTTTCCTCTTGATGAAATCAAAAGTTATCAAGAGAAAATTTACACTGTTTTATATGTTCCAAGACAATTTTAAAAAATGTAGCAAAGAGAGCAGTATTATTTGAAGAAAGAAAAAAATGAAATTAAAATGCAAATGTTCAATAGAGGCAAAACTTACCTATTTTCATTCCTCTTTGCCAACTGAAGGTAACACATCTACTCTTGATGTGAATTCTATCTTCTGAGCCAATGTCTGTCACTGAGCCTATCAACTCTTGTTGCAACAACTTATTATTCATATCATTTTCAAGATTTTTTATGGCAGATCGCACTCGCTCAATTCTGGAAACTGCAACAAAAATGGACATTTTAATTTTGAAAAACAACTTACACGTGTTATTCAACTATATGTTATTGAAAATTCTATGAAGGTTAAAGAAATCATCCAACTTAGTAATTATTTTTATGTATACTAACAAAACCATGTAAAGCAATAAATTAATATTTTAAATCATAATAAATTGAAAAATGTTTCTTATAAAGTTTGAAGTTTTGATGGCTAAAAAACTAAATTATTTTTTCTAAAAAAAAGGATTAGATAAAAGGAAGAGTAAAGATGATGGACGATCCTAAAAGCGAAAGAAATATTTTGGATCATAGAAACGTTTAAGCTTGCATAAACTTAACATTTAAAGAATTATATTTGTTAATTCACAATGAAAATACAAAATTTGACAACAAAATAAATCCATGCAAAAACAATCAGAAACTTAAATGTGAAAGGTAAGGGAAGTTAAAAACAGATATCCCACAAGAAACTATCTAAGCACAAATCACACATTTATGACGAGCCAGATAAAACTTTACCTAATCTAAGTCCACAAATCATATTGGTACACATTGACAATTCTGAACTATTGAGTTAAGACTACACTTCTCTATATTCTAGAGCAACAAATCAAATAAAAAATTTTAACATCCAATAAGCAAAAGTTATAAAATTTTTAAATATCATCACAAATTTTTGTGTGGATTGAACACAGCTTCTGAGTAAATGTTTGGTTACACTCACTGCAGGTCTACGTGAGTCAGAATTTTTTAATTAAAGAATAAAATTGTACAAAAGAAAAACAAAAATCTTAATCTACCTCATCAGCCAAGTCAAAATGGTATAGTAACCAAAACATGACAAATTCAATTGCAATTTTGAATTAAAGCACAAGAATTCAGAATACTGTTTCAAGTTGCTCAGAAACTGGCAAGAAAGAAATGTCTCACAAGAGACTAGCAGTCTTTCTGGTTAGTAATGCTTCACAGAAATTGTTCTTCAAATCATGCAAATATACTTCAAATATTTTTTTAAAATTTTTATCCATGCAATAATCAATAGTTTGGTAACCCAATTAGATTAAGTATTATCAACCACATCAGTAAAATGAAGAGGCTACCAACAAAAATTAAAATCTCACCATTGTTTCTTCATACCCAGATGTTTTCACGAGCCTCTCCAATTTGAAAGATTCTTATAACATAAAATATTCCCAACTATGAATACATTGAATCTTCTTTGATTTTCATCAGTAAATATGACACCTGAGCATTATCAAACGTACCATGCAGAAATTACAAAAGCTAATTACAAAAAAATAATCACGGGTCCCATCAGTATTATACACAAACCACACTTCAGAGTAAAACAAAAACACAAATTTCATATCATTAAGAAATAAACACAAATTAAAAGCAAACATACCACGAAACATGAAGCGTACAGCATCACAGAGAAGATAGTAATCACCAAGTCCAATTGCAGGAAGAAAAGAGTACAAGGACAAAAATACAGTATAAAAATGAAAGAAATATGGCAAAGATAGTGCAAATAATAACGATAAATACATTCTCACACACAAATAAGCACTTACTTTTATCTTTAGGTGGTATTTTGACTGTGAGCGTAAAACCATCCTGCACATCATCAGTCACATCAACGTCATTAGAAAAACTAGGATTAGCAGACAGTGATCGCTGAGTGTTTGGAACAGTGGATGAAACACCAGTGTCTAACATTGATCGTGATGTACGATATGAAGGAGATTTCGTACGAGATGCTGGAGAAGAGGCACGTGACTTTGGTCTCTGTCCTTCAATGGAACCACGTCCACCATGAAATATATGAGGGGACGAAGTTCTTTTCTCAATTGTAGGGGATGCAGTGCCAATAACATAAGCTATACATTTCTCTACAGCTGACTGGAAGCTCTGAAATCAATTACATTCATTAGATTGATTTTAGTTACATTCGTTCAGCTCTAAATGAATTGAGCTGCTAAATATGCACTTTACATGTCTGCAATAAGAAAAGCATCTATTAAACAATAAAACTTATTCTGCCTCTGTGTCTTCAACTTCATTGCAAAGTGACAAAATAAAATTCCTATGTAAAACAGAGGAAATAGACGAAAATAATATTAAAGAAGAGATTCACTTATGATTCACTTCCATTGAAAGGTGCTTTCCAAGTAAATAAGAATTTGACATTACAGAATTTGGTAGAACACATTCAGGACAGTCAACAAACACATTGACAAAAATAGTTTAATACAGTGGCCCACTTTTAAATTTATTTCTGAAAATATTTTGGTTGATGGAAAGGTGACAAAAATTCTGGGTCTCCCAATTTAGTCAAACCTCGAAACAATGTTGGTATCAAAAACCAACAAAACATGAATTCTGGCTACACCATGTGTTAGAGGACTTTTTCCTAAATTTAGCAACAGGATTTATCCACTTTTTCATTGCCTAAACCTCACGAGTTTTTTTCTGGCAAACAATTACATAACTTTCTCTTCTTATGAAGAATTCGTAAGGCAAGAAAGTGATAATAATTTTAGGACCATTAGTGATATCGAAGTTGGTCCCATGAGTACTGATTATATTGTATTTAAATTTAATGTTGATATATTCATTAATTTAGTTCATATTTCATTAACTGGTTCATACAGGTGCACAGGAAGAAGAACAACTGATTTGAAGGTATTCATACGTTTTACAAATTGAACAAGAGATGTGAAAAATTGTTTAAAAGTTGAAAATTCGAAAATCACATACACATGCTTCAAGTTTATTTATCTTAATAAATTCTACTTGTGATTTGCTTCAATTCATTTTCAATATAGTTTCTGGAATTATGTTATTTTCTGGGCAACAGAAAATTGGATCGTTTACATAACATATAATATTTGGAGTCGTTTTTGAGAAAATTTAAAATGTTTTTGAGATTTCATGTGAAATACCCTCAAAAAACAAAACATTCATTTGAAACTCCCATTGCCACGAGTTGATTCGGAACGATTGAGGAATATCAATTTTGAAGAATATCGGCTAATCAGTTTAGGCTTTGACTACAGATAGACAGATGGACCTTTGCCATCAACTGATTTTTCGGCACCAAGAACCAACAAAACCTGAATTCTGGTTACACCACGAGTTAGAGGACTTTTTTTCTAAATTTAACAACAGGATTTTTCCACTTTTTCGTTACCAGAACTCTGCAATAAGGTTTTTTCTGGCGCAATTGTGGCATTTTCTGTCACACGTTTACATAATTTTCTACTCTTATAAAGAATTCGTAATGAGAGAAAGTCAAAAATAAAGGAAATTGATATTAAATAAATTATATTTTCAAATGATATATAATGCATTCATCAATATTTCTATTTATAATTCTAAAAGACTAAATAAGTCTTTAACAAGTATGGTACTTCAGCTTCTGGGTCAAAGATTCTTATCTTGATCAGGTTTTTGTCCAAGTTTCCCTTGACCCATTGAGCAAATGCTAAGATGGCCCCTAGTTTTGCTCTGGAATATACATGCCGCTTCTCTATCGGGGTTACCCAAATTTTTTTTCCAATGAAGGACATTTCAATGAAAAAGAGAACATTATACATTTTTAAATTCCATGATCTGTAACAATGTACTCAATTTCAAACCATTAAGTCTTTAAAAAGAATATTAGACTTTGTGTCATTAAAAATTAAAGCTTACGATTGGATAACTTCACCCCCACACTCGCTGAAGTGAGATGGAGAGAGAGTTTGAAAAACTAGAGAAATTCATCCAAGAAGACTAACGATATAATAATAATAGGAAGAAAAGAGGTTTTTGTTGTGAGAAGTTCCTCTGTATTTCAATGGTAAATATCTCCATTTATACTGCAGCCATAAAATGTTTACATATTAAATATGTATTGTACATTAATTTTGTATTTGATTCGGTATTCGTTGACGTGCACATGCTAACAAGTTCAACAGTCACCCAGTTCTTCAGCAGGTTTGCGCAATACATCTTTCATCGCTAAGGAAAATTATGTGATACAATTAGTAACAGTGCAACAGGAAAAAAAATATGATGTGGATGAAAGCTGCATTTGTGATTCACATAAGAACAAAATGTGACTTGAATTTCTTTTTTACTGCAATGCTCAATTGTGTTTCAACATTAACAATGTCATAAATTAATGGAACAATAAAAGTGAAATAGGTGAAAAAAAGGTTGTTTTTTTTAGTTTCCTTTCCGTAATATTAGGATGCAGGTTAACTTAAGGGCAGGGATTAATAGTGTATATGATATATTTTACTGGTAATTAATTTTACAATAAAAAATTAAAAGAAAAAACAAAACGGTAATCTAATTTATCATATCCACGTATTTGTTAGGGGGGGAAAAGGGCTTAGTAGTGATAGCCAGATTTCACAATCATGCTCAAAAATAGTGAAATTTTACCTCAAATTCTTCCTCTGTCAAGTGGCAGGTGTGGATAGGATCTGTGACAAACATAAGGAACTCTGTTCCTTGACAAGCCCATCTAGGTTTGCTTCCTCGACCTTGTTCACACCATTCTTTCACAAAATCCATCCACTGATAAGCAAAACTTATGTAGCCTTGATATAACTTTGTTCTTGCCTCTCCAGTAACAGCTCTGCATATCTCTCTATGAAACTAGAAAAAATAATTTTGTAATTTTAATTCATTGCCTTTCCAATTGAAACAAATTCTGACTTAAGACTACTTTATCATCTTATTATTTTCCTTACCTCAAATAAGTACTTATATCCCAAATGCAAAATTTCTCTAAAACGAGCATTCAATGACTGTCTTTCTGTATCATCAACATGATCCATATTCCAGTTTCTGAAAACTACTCCAACAGACTGCAAAGCACTAGCAACTTCAAAACGTAATGCCAAAACAGCCGACTGAAAATAGATGAGATTTGAAAACAATGATATGAAGGATTTCTTTTCCCCTTAACATTAATCAAGTATGTGCATGTACCTTCAACTCTTCTAATGCTTCTCTCAACGAACTATCCAGCGAAGATTCATCACAATCGTCACGTTCCAAATCTTTCACAAGTGTTCTGCTAAAGAATATAGCTTTGTATGATTTCTGTCGCAATTCATTAAAAAGTGTTTGAAATTCCCGACAGATCAGCATTACATCATGTCTAAAAAATAGAAAGCCATTAACGATTTCCCACTTAAATTTTAATTTAAACACGAAATTAATATTAAAAATTAATCAGCAATAACTTTAAAAATAATGCAAAATATTAAATTACTCACTTTGTGGAAGACTCATCAAGACCATTTTCTTGGTCTTTGTGGACCATCACTTCTTTCAATTTAGTTTTGGAATAATTTTCAATTGCTTCCACCATTCCTGTGGCAATGTGGCTACAACACATTCAAGAGAGATCAGTCAGATTCATAAAACAAATACAGATGAATTAAAAGATTGTGTCTTATGACACACCCTACAGGAAACCACTTACCAAAACACATTGCCCACTAAGGTTGAAGCTCCAGGGATATTCATACATGTTGACTTCACAAATTGCCATTCTTCTTCTAATAAATTTTTATGAAATCTTTCATGCTGAACCATTGGCACCCATTGTTGCAAGTACTCTAGGTATAACTGAAACAAAGAGGAGAAATTAATGATAAAATATTGAAGAAACCGGGTAAATCACTTAGCTTAAGTTAAAGCCATCCATCCATCGATGCAGACAAGACAGAAAGATATCTCGATTCACACCACCTGCATCATCTTAACCAACACTAAGAGCACTAATAGACCTTAATCCTGATATGTGTGGGACGTTACAGCTCCAAAGAATTTTAAATAAGGATTTTACAACCAAAAATTCTGAATTCGAATATTGATGTGAAGCCAATAATTCCCCTCAAGAAAGAAGTTGCAATTAAAATCTATTAGGCTTTCAACGGCACTTACATTCGCTCATTATTTCTAATAGTTATATAATATACTACAAGAACATACAGTTGTGTAAGTTTTGAAAAACTGAAAGGTTGCATCAAAATAATGCATCAAAATAAAATACAAATATCTAAGCCATCGAATTTATTTATTTATTTATTTACTGTATGGACATTAGTATATCCAATAATATCACAATAGAAGAATAATTCATAATAAAAATAAAGTTTGTAACAAAAGTACTTTACAAGAATAACATAGTGACGAAATTCAAAAAAAAAAATTAAATATATTACAAGCGTATAATTATTTATGTATATTGAAAGACAGATGATCTCAAATATGTAATCAACTCACTCATACTAAGATCTAAAATATCTAGATTTTAATTATATATAATTTTACAAGTTGTAGAGAAAAAGTTATTTGATGTATGAATTTTAGAATAATTACGCAAGAAATAAGGTACATGGCTAGTAGACTTATTAGGGACACGAAACAGCATTTTACTAAGTAATAGTGGGCAATCTATGGTACCATATAATAATGTATATAGGAAAACAATGTCACTCTACATCCCACACAATATAAGAGTTGGAATACCCAACAGTTGCGAGATTTTTGTGTATGATGTGATGATTTAGAATCAGATCAGTACAGCCAAGTCTTGGGGAGAGAAATCGAAAAATCTATGCTTTACTCTTTCAAGCCTATTGATGTGAAAATCAAAATACAGCGACCAAACCACAAAAGCAAAAAGGTGAGATCTAACTAATGAATAATACAAGGTCTCAAAGCTGCTGTACATCAGATCACCCCACACGTTCTCTTGATCAGTCCAAGTTGTTGTAGAGATTTAGTTACAACCAAATCAATGTGCATATTAAAATTCATTTTTGAGTCGTATATAACACCAAGATCCTTTATTGAGATAACTCTTTCTAGATATATATCATTAATTTTGTCAGAACTGTCAATAACTTTCTACCTGTATAGAAAGTTATGAATTTGCATTTGTTAGGATTGAGATATAATTAATTTAATAAACACCACTGAGAGGTAGCTGATATAACATTTTGTAGATCTTTAATATCTTCGGTGGATTTTACACTTTTAAATAGTTTTAAATCATTCGCAAATATAAGAAATTCAACACTCCCCAGAAGTGAGCAAACATCATCGATAAATAAAACAAATAACAAAGGACCTAAATGTGAACCTTGACATACCCCCAAGGATACAGTAATTTCATTGGAGATGAGACTTCCAATCAGTTAACCATTTAAGAAGCATTCCAGATATACCAAAGCATTTACGTTTTAAAATTAACAATTTTTGGTTTACAGAATCGAACGCCCTGCTAAAATCAGTATAAATAGTATCAACTTGTATATTAATTCAAGAGAGTTCAGAAATGTACTGGCTATAAAGAACTAAGTTACTTTCAATATTACGTCCTGGCATAAATCCATGTTGATTGGCTGATATGAATGGAGTAATTTTTTACTTTAATTTATCTGTAATTATTGATTCAAAGAGTTTAGGTATGACACAATGAATAAAGATTGGTCTATTATTGGATATTTCATTTTTAGAGCCAGATTTATGTATCGCTGATGTATGTAGATTTCCATTTTGTTGTAAATATACGCTCTTTTAATGATTTTACAAATAAAACTTGTAAAATGAAGGAGAAGATGAAATTACATTTAACTAAAATAATTGGAGGCATTCCATCAGAACCTGCGCCCTTGTCGAGTTTATTAATTTTTTGAAAAAATGTCATTTATAGTTATATCTAATGAAGCAACTAATGTTGCTTAATGAGGAAAGTTGATATCACTAACATTTAGTCTATTTGATGGTATATACAATTACTGAAAATACTTAGCAAAGGCATTTACAATAGATAAATCATCTTTTAATGTAACTTCTTCAAATAGCACTCTCAAATAACTTCTGAACACATTTAGAAAAAAAATTGTGTGTGGTATCATTTATATACATAATTTTGAAAATTATATTTCATTAGGATAAAAATCTTCAATTTGTTGTGACAATAAAAAAATTTAAGCCTTTAAAGTTTAAAAAAAAATTAAAGAATTCGACAAAAATTGGTCCAACACCATTTTTGTAAGTGTACTTTGCTACATGTGAAAAAAATAAAGAATAAATTTGAGGCCATTTTTGAGAAAATTTTGAAAATGTTGACATGTCGTGTGAAATACCCTCAAAAAACAAAATACAGTACAAGCCCACTTTTATGTTACAAATTTACGTTTTCCCCGCATTTGACAGATTTTTTCTGGTCTCTTCAATTTTCCTATGTTCATAATGTTAAATTATCCCCGCTTTTATACTTTCAAAATTAAATTTTTCGCACTGTTTGGACTTTTTGAAGTCACCACAAATCTGTGAATGCCATTTTTGCTACCTCTTGAAATGATCTCCTGCTACAAGATTTATCGCATCGTGTTTGAATTCCGGGCTTGTTTGGAGTTCATTCATGGTAGAAAGAGGTCTCTTTTCACTTGTTCATTCACTCTGGTACAGTTGAGTATAGAAGAGTGCTCCTCGTTACAGCATCAGACGAGAATCAAAACCGAAGTGTTTGGTATCATAGTTTTGGGCTTTTAAAGAAGTTTTAATTTTAATAGTTGTAAATCTTGCCCTTTAATGGATTTAAAAAGAAAAAGGATGAGTCTTTGTATTAAAAAAATCCAAAATTCTAGAGGAAGTTGAAGTCCATAAAGGAAAACTTGTTGCGTTAGCTCTAAAGTTGGGGATATTGGTATCCACTCTAAACACGATAGTAAGAAACAAGGCTTAATTATTAAAAGTGCAAATGAAAGAGGGCATTTCAGCAAGAGGAGGAAGTAGACCTGCTATTCAAAGTATGTAGAGCTGGAGGATATCCTGAAGAACTGACAATGTGGTGACAACTGGGTCAATGTGGAGGAAATTGGCGCAAGCTTAGAACACAAAGAAACAAATGGCAAGAGGGGAAACTGATGGACCTCAAGAAGGATTATTCACCCAAGGAAATTTTCAACACAGATGATAATGGGCAAATTTTTGTGTTCTTACGAAAAATACTTTCACATTTAAAGGCACAAGTTGCCATTGAGGCAAAAACAGTAAACTTAGGCTTACTGTAATGTTGGGAGCAAATGCTGACGGATCTAAAACACTTTGCCAATTTGTTCTAGGAAAGTCCAAGAAACCTCAATGCTTCAAGAAAGTGAAAACATTGCCCACAAAATATGAGGCCAAGAAAAAAAATTGGATGACTTCCGACCTTTTAGAAAGGCAAATGTGATGCGAAGATGGAAGCGCAGAACCGGAGAATTCGTATATTTATTGATCTGTGCTCTGCGCATCCAAAGAAAATGAACTTAATAAATATTAGAATTGAATTCTTGCCAGCAAACTGCACAAGCAAGTTACAGCCAATGGATTTAGGAATAATCCATGCTTTTAAGACATACTATAGAAAAAATGTGCAACGATTATTAGGTTGGATGGAGCAAGGGAAGGACACAATGACTTTTAAAATATCTATCCTCAATGCACTGCATTATATTGCAAAGGCATGGAAGGACGCGAGTGGATCCACCATATGCAATAGTTTCAGAAAAGCTGTCTTCTTCCAAACCCATGAGGAAGAAGTAAGTGACGAAGACAGTGATCTTATTTCAGGATAGGAGAAATTAAAAATAGGTTACTAAGTAGATGACTTTCTTCATTTTGACGATTAACTTGTGACTGTGCAGTGTCGGTAGAAAGTGACAGTGATGGTGATTTTGACAATGACAATAACGGTGATAGTAGTGTGCCTAATTGTGCAGAAGTAGTTTCTGCAATACACACCATAAAAAAATATATTTCTGCAGCAGATGGTGATGATAATAGTTTTGACCATGTGTATGAACTTCAAAAGCAAGTTGAAAGAATTCAACAGAAGACAAAACAATCGTCTAGGTTTCCTTCCGTTTACACTTTCCTGCAATTTACACCTTTCTTTTGTGGTCACTTGAAAACTGTTAAAGAGGGGTTCTACTGTATATACTTTAAATTCAAGATGCCATGTCAACAACCAGATCAATTTTCGTGGAAATCTTGTGCATGGGCAGGCAGACATTTTGCCAAATTTCTCTCATTGAAGTAAAACCATCTTATCAAATTTTAGAAAACAAAAGTATACTCTTTTTCAAGAAGCAAGAATATTTTATTCAAATTTAATATTTAATTTGTATTTAACATTAACAACAATATTTAGATATCAATATTCATCTCTACTGAATATCAATTATACAATTTGCCTCATGAATTCTTAGACCATTTTAACATACTTTTTTTAATGTATTTAAGAAGTTGCAGATACAGTGGAAATATATCACAGAAGTCTTAATTACATTATTTTAGGTGAAATTCAATAGAATAAGTTTTATTATGGGAGAAATGTTGACAGTTTCTACTTCTCAAAAATTAATAACACAATTTCCATTAGATTTAAATGGTAGTAGATAAAGGGAGAGAAATGCATGATTTTTACCGAGACATAATTTTGGAGCCCAAGGTCTACAATTACACTAAGGGGAAAATGGTGCTCTCTCTCCCTCATGCACTGTATACGCTATTTTTGCCATGAACACAAAAATTTTGTAAGGAAAAAACAAACAAACTACACTATACATTATTTACAAAACAAATGAAATAGACTTCAATGAATTTCTTTTGTTATAAAATATTTGGTAATTTTCAAAAGACAACTACATGTTTAATTTGAGTAATGAAAGAGGAATGAAGAAAATCTAAAAGGTGATAATAATGACGGTTACATAATTATTATTTTATGTTTGGCATATGGATGCATTAAACTACAACAAAGTGAACATGTTAGCTTAGTTTTTTGAACAAGCTTGGAAATATAAATATCCTTCAAGACATGTGCAAATTATTCCATCGTAAAAGCATGTTTTCTAGCATAGTGTCTAGTAAAACTGAAGCATTCTTAAAAAAAACTATTGATTAAAAAATTGTTTTAAACAAACTGACTGATGATCTTTTAATAAGAGCAATATAAAATTAGTATTTCACAACTTTGGCAAATTTAGATTTGCAGACCACTTAAATAAATAATGTTGCTATTTATTCAGTTAAATTCGTATTCATTGTTAATGTAAAATTCAACCACACTGTGACTAAAATGAACTGAACAGATGTGTTATGCAATTTCATTGTTGTAGAATGGAAGCAATGGAGAAACTATTGTCTTCCTAGAGAGTAAATGATATTTTTCTTTCCTGCATTTGGTAATGAACAGCTGTTACTACAGACCATGACAATGTTTAAAAAGAAGAAATGAAAGAATAGAAAATAGGTATTATAAAATAGTTTCCAGTAGCAACTAACACTAGTGGTGCAACACAATAGCACAGACTTTCTTGTAGCAAAATTTTCTAATTTCTGACCAAGGTGTGGATTATCTTTATGGTCTTGCCCCATCCTGTTGCCAGCAGCCATTATTGCCATCCAAAATACATTTGAAGCTTTCTCAATTTTTTGGTTTCCTAATAATAATACTGAAATATTACTTTTAAATTATTAAAGAAGAGTAAAACCTCATTGCGTATGGAAATTTTCATTGAAAAATTTGGAGCTATTTTTAAGAAAAAATTGTTTAAACTCTAGTATAAATTCAAAATTTGAAGCCCTTTTTCACAAGAATCTTTTGGATTTTTGAAAAACTTCATTTAAAATGATTTGAAGCAATTCCAGACACAAATGCAATAACGTATACAAATTGCTGGATATCGCCTTACAGATATTAACACTATCTATATTAAAAGTTCGAAGAAAACATTTGGATGCTTTCAAGAAAATGACGGAGCATTTCTAAAAATGTGAAATTTTGAGCTCGATTTCACAGAAAAAATATGAGTTTGCATGAAAACTTTATAAGACACCATTTAAAAGATATTTACTCGTAAACGTAATAATATGAAAAAAATCGCTGCTAATGTAAATATTAATGAGAAAGGCTAGTCAAAAAAATAAAAGAATAGAGCCAAATGGCATTTAGATCACCTCATAGAACACATTTAGCACTATCCTGACTGATTTTTTTTTTTAATATTACACATATTTCATAATTATACAAAAACTATTAAAAGTTTCAAAAAAACGTAAATTACCTTTTTCAAAGAACTAAATATGGAGACCAAATTTCATTTGAAGGAAACCTCTATTTTTACAATTTAGTAGTTGTATGAAGACGCGGAAAAAAGTCTAACTTTTGCAATTTTCAAAAATCCAGAGTTAACAGTGAAAATCTTATCTATGCCACCTTTATAAGTGTATTTTACTTTATTGTTACAACAAATTTAAAGAAAAAATTTGGAACCTTATTTTGAGAAAATTTTGAAAATGTTCCTGGGGCTTCTTTAAAGTACCCCCAAATTTCAAAGAATGTTTTTCAAAATCACAGCACTTTGAGTCAAGTCATATTGACCGTGGAAAATCCATTTTGGAAAAAACCTACATATGGTTTAGGTGCTAGTGGTGTGCACAGACAGAAGTTTTGAAACAAACATTTCCGGTACCAGGGGACCCCAAAATGTGTGTTTCCATTGAAATCTAGAAATCGATTTTCCGCAGCATTACATAACTTTCTCTCTCATTACGTATATTACTCGATATATACATATGTACATGAGAAAGTAAAAAACTACAATCACTACCATAACAATGTACAACAATTAAGTGTATTATACTAACATTTAAGACAGCATCACATGTGCTATCAAAGCCAGAAACATCTTCATATTTCTTCAGTAATTCTTCATCCACATCCCATAATGTTGTTCGAATTAGAGAGAGGTACCTTTCCCTGTGCAAAGCTGCCATTCTCAGGCCTTCCTTCAGTTCCCGCATTAACTGTAAACACCTCATGATTATAATCTTTAAATTTTTATAAAAAGCAAAAGTAATGATAAACACCACTTAAGGAGAAACAATCACTAATTTCATTATTAGTTTCAAACTGTATGTACAATACAATAAAAAATACAAATAGAAAAGTCACAAAGATTCATATCATTTTCTAAAGCGTAAGTTTTCTAAGCCATTATGACTTAATTTCCACAATATACTGCTTACCTGACGGATACATAGAACTGAAGGATTAGCGGGTTTTTGTTCCAGTCGCATTTGAAGTAACTCATATACAACATCAAGTGGAATGTGTGCAAGAAATATAAATGCAGATCTATAAGAAGGCAAATGAAGAGATTGTGCAACTTCACTCCAAAATCCATAACGCTTAAGTTCTTCTTCTTGTTCATCATGAATTTGGGAGGAATCCAATGGAGTGGTTGAGTCTTGTATTGTATTAACAGAATCATTAGCATTCTGGAAAAGTAATGTTTCACTGGAAATAGTCACCAATACACAATTTGAGAAGAAAATTACATATTGAAGAATGAGAAATTAATAATTCTCTTACCACATCTAAGGTTTCAGTATCCTGACTTAGGGTTTTTTCTGGCTTTGACAGTGACAGCATAGCTTTAATTAGTATGTGATTATGAAGTTTTTCCAAAAAATACAAAGATTTTCTTAATCCTTTGGTCTTAAGAACTTCTTCTATATATTTCCGGAATGGATTTACACATGATACATCACTCTTGGAGAAACAACATGTGGGTGCTGTAGTCGAAACAGGTCGAGAATCAAAACAATTGGCCAAACAATCAGCGACATCAACTCCATCAGACACATGTGAAGCGTTTGAATTGTTAGAATCTGATGGACTGCTAGTTGTGCTACCTGTATCAAACTGAACTGCACGTTTTCTGTTCTTAGAATAGGACTTTCCTTTTAACATAGAATCATTCCTGAAACAAACAAGTAATTTAAGGAATGAATAATAAATTCTATTCAACATTTTCTTAGTACATAATTGTGTAAATATTAAAATTCCAAATAAAAACAATACCTACGAAATACAACAAATGAGAAACAACATTCAATATTATTATAAAATTATCCTACATCACTTGGGAGTCTTTAAAGTAAATGGTGTTTTGGCATTTCATTCACTTATCTTTATTTCATGAAACTTGAAACACATCACATGGCCAGTGTACATTTTGTACATTAGTTGATTTCTGTTTGTGATGAATTATTATGTGATTAAAATTAAGCACATAATAATTCACCACCCCAGACATAATAAGTGCCTCACCTATAAATGATGCTTCTGTGACTATTCTTAACTGCATATTTTGTTTATGAGTGAAATGTTATTCTTCACCATTGTTTCAGTAACATAACTTTTGATAAATGCCTGGCAGACTGTGTATTTGCATCTGCCACACAATTCTCTCATTAAATTTGTAATGATTCAAAGCTTTGTTTTATGAGATACTGACTAGGGTATTCGCCAATCATGTTGCCTTTGATAGGTCACATCAAATGTGCCAAATTTGAAAAGTACACTAGCAATGAATGTCACTAACACCAAATGCTCTGGCTGTTTCTCTGTCTTTCATCCATGCAGCACAAAGGGAAATGCATTTCTTTGTAAAGGGATGCTTGAACTCTGTCGTGATAACCAATACTACAAAACTTTAGCACCCCTCTCCATCAGTTAATCAAAAACGTCTCCACTTGAAAGCTCATAATAGTAACTGATTGAACAGATGCATTGTATGTTTTCAGATATGCTGAAGGATTACAAGGACAACTCAATTCAACAATTAAGCAGATTAATATGGAGAATAGACAACATGCCTTGAAGGGATTATCAGTTATTTGATCAGAATGTGCTTATCTATCAATTGATCCTTGATAAGATTCTATTTATTAATGAATTTAAGGATCGTACTTTGAGAGCAAGAAATGTCACTATTTAGCACTTTCCTCAGGAGAAAGATTCTGCCTCTCACTTAATACACATCAATGCTTCCTCGCAGAGACTTGAAGATGGTTTTACTATTTCAGGCACTAGAGTGGGATCACAATGAGGAACATTGCTCACTAAAATTCACATGTAACACTAAAAATTAGGCCTTATTTATTTTGAGATTACTTGCTGAAGACCTATGAAATTCTGTCTTAAATGAGAGAAATTCTTTGCCTGATATTCATTAGGAACATGACATCTGGGAACTAAACTTCAACTCAACAAGAACAGCGAGCAAAATGTGTAGATTGGTTATGTGGAAGGTATACCCTCTATTATACTTATAAAAACTAAATTTTGACGAAATTCTTAAAAATCTAAAAGCAAACTTGATTAAAACCATTCACAATGCATTAAAAGTAAACATAATGACTTATGTTAAAAAAACATTAAAAACTAAAAGTAGCCATGATCTCAACTCTTTTGGATTGGCATTTTATGTATTAAAATGCCCATCTGTACAAAATAAAACAAGTTCTTATTTACAAATCTTTTAATGTTATTATTTTGGTAGAACCTTGAGTCAATAGCGAATTCAGTGGCAATAAATAGGGTTTTCATGGCTTCCATATTTTTCATTTTAAAGATGAGCACTGACAAGCAAATTTGCAGGGGGAGGTGGGTTCTTAATTGCTGTCTGTGATTAAGTAAAAAGTAGATTAGTTCCTGCAGTCTTGTGGAATACTGAAAACATTCATGTGTCTATTTTGATAAATGATGTTGAATTGATATTTGGAGCAATATATATTCCTCTGAGGTCTACCTTAAATGCTTATCAGAATTTCTCTTATAATGTGACTTATCTTTGCAGTGATTATGAAAATGCCTTGTTTTACTTTTTGGACAACTTGAACCTACCAAATACACTTGGAACAAAAACAATCCTAATTTAACTTTTAAATCTAATTGCTTGTCTCTTATCTCAACAGTGAGTATAGCATCAGTGATGGCTGAACAAACTTTTTTTAAATCTATAACAAAATAATTTGGTATTTACTAATCGTAATGTCTAGACCTAGTCTTTAGTTCATCTCAATTTACTGGTAAACCAACTACTGATGATAGTATTCATCCAATGGATGATCACTCTCCACCAGTTTGTTTGAAATCAGTCTCCATTTTGAGGGGGACTCTGATGTCTGTGGAGATCTTAAATTTAATTTTCAAGGGAATTATGATTTAATTAACTCCTATTTAACTCAATTGTTTGGAACCTGAGTTTTCAGAAATTGAATATTGACAATGCAGCTTGTACTTCTTATGATTTTTTTTTTTTAACTTTTACTCCCCGAGTTTACAAATAGGATGGCTATCCTGAATACTGCTGCTGCTGAATACGAAATTACTCCTATATATTTTCCACCCTTCAGATTTTTAATTAAGAATCTGTATAATTCTGAACCAGGTTTTTATATACTTCAAAGAAAATAAATGTGAATTCCAAGAAATTTTTAAAACTAGCACTTAACTAACATTCTCAAGTATAAATGTTTTAGAAGAAGAAACAAGAATGACTGATTTACATTACTGAACACACTTTCAACTCCTTTGCACTTGTCACCAATTTTTAAAAAATATTTCATGCACTCAATGAAAACAGATTAGAATCAAAATAAAAGTTAAAAAAGTTTGATAGAAACTGCTATTTTTTAGTGTTTCACTGATGAAATTCCCATGTACTTATATGAATATACCTATGGTTTTAGAGGAAAAGTTCTTAAGATGGAGTTAGCTAAGAACTTCAGAATTTCTTTTCTCAATTGCAATTATTATTGTATTAAAAAGTTCTCATTGTCCACTTTACTATGTTTGCCCTATTTTATCTTAGTTTTTCGTTGAAATTGAACTTTAATAACAAATCATGGCAATTTAAGGAAGAGAAATCACAAGCCCACTTCTTTCTATGATCAAAAACTAAAAGTGTTTTTGAAAAAACCTATAGTCTATAAACTCAAGTTTTTGCAAATTCTAATTGTTTTGAGTTCACATAAAATTCAAAATTAAGAGTTCATTGTATTAGCTAAAAAACAAAATCAAATACCGAGACAAACGAGGAGAGACATCGCCTGCAGATGTGTCAGTGGCAACTCCAGAATCTTCTTCGCCTAATGCGGGCCAGTTGTAATTTTTTGAATGTAGAAATGTAAAATGTTTCCCTAAAATTAGAAGTTTCAATCGATGATGTTTGGTCATGTTGTACCATAGGCACATTGCCTATAACAAAAGAAAATTTTAAAAAAGTAAATATAAAATTTTGAATTGAATGATATAACACGTTTCCATTACAAAAGCAAAGGCTTTGTAATAATGTAAATTACCTTCACACGACCAATGAAATTGGGTGATTTGTAAAGGGGAAAATGTAAAGCAAATGCTTTGCTTGATGGATATAAACTCTCTGCCTTTTCCAATCTACTCAATAACTGTTCCACATCCTTCAAAGCTAACATTTGGTTTTCTACACAACTGTGGCAGTAAATTGAGAGACAGCCGGTTTGTGGACAGCACTCTCCAACATCCCCCATCATACATTCCTCGTGGCCTTCAAAGCCACTGTCGCTGCTCTGAGCTGATAACTGCTGAGGCGGGCATAAGGGGGTGTGGGATTGAAACCTGTTGAGAAACAGTGAAAATACATTACATTAAAATACGTTATATACTGTGTAAATACTTCTATTATTAAATTTCATTTAAATAAGGCACCAGACTTCATCTCATTATCTTTTTCTGTCTCTTTTACAAAATGTTGCTAGAAGATTTGTGAGTGAGCTCATTAATCACTGTTATTCAATATTATTAATATGGAAGCAAGGGGCACCAGAAAATCTAAAGAAATAATTTTAAAAATAAATTTAGTGAGAGACACAGTGCTCAGATTACTATAATACAGCATAAAAAAACTTAAGTTTCATTAAAAGAACATTTTTTTTTTAATTTAAAGGAACTAGGGTGGTATATCCTATTGTTACAATAATGAAACGAGGAATGGGCTAGCTTTACAGCCTTGCCTCCATCCTTTTCGTAGCTGCGATCTATTATCACCCTAAATATATTTTTTTGAAATTTTCAATTTCCTAATGGTGTCTTTGAAATAATACTTTTAAAATATTAAAGAAGAGCAAAACCTCCTACATGGAAATTTTCGTTGAAAAATTTAGGGCAGTTTTTAAGACAAAAAAACCCTGAAGCTCAAGTGCAATTGCGAAATTTGAAGTTTCTTTCACATAAAATTGTGGAGTTTTCAAAAAACTTCATTCTAAGTCATTTGAAGAACTTTAACTCACAAATGCAATAATGTATAAAAATTACAAGTGTGCGAGATATTTAAAAAAAAAAATACATTTGATAATTTTTTGAAAAACAAAAGAATGTAGCAAAATTAATTAGCCCTTTGAGCCATTTTTGAGAAAATTGTGTTTGAGCATTTTCTGAAAATGCAGAATTTTGTGCTCGTTTTCATATAAAAATATTGAGTTTTCAAGAAACTTGATTTGACTCTATTTAAAGTGCATGTAAATGCAATAATGCAAACAAATAGCCAGTGATCTAAATATTAACAACATGAGAGGCTAAAATCATTAAATCAAAGTTACATTCTTATAAATTTTGCAAAAACAAAAGAATAGAGCAAATTGGCATGTATGTATGCACATCAAGTACATTTCGTAGTATCCCTACGAAAGGTTTAAAGAAAAAATTTGGAGCCGCTTTCGAAAAAATCTAGTTTTTGTTATTTTATTAATATTGCACATATTGCAAGCAATATTGCATGAAAAGTACCAAAAGTTTCAAAAAAGCATACATAATCTTAAAGAAAGAACTAATTATGCATAACAAATTTCTTTTGAAGGAAAAATATTTATCTATTCTATGTCTAATATTTTATAGATGTATAAAGATGCCAAAAATGTCAAACTTTTGCAATTAGTACATGTAAGTGCATTATACTTTATTCTTATGAGAAAATTTTTAAAAAATTTGGAGCCATTTTTCAGAAAATTTTGAAAATGTCCCAGGGACTTCATATAAAGTACCCCCAAAACAATATCTTTCACAATATCAAAGCTTCGACTGCAGCCAGATGAACAGAGGTTTCTTCAATTTGGAAAAAATCCTACGTATGGTTTAGGCACTAGTGGTGTTCACACACGGACAGACAGACTTTTGGAAAAGAAATGCATTTTTGGTATCAAGGGACCCCAAAACATGTATTTCTGTTGATGTCTCAAAATTGATTTTTTGCAGCATTACATAACTTTCTCCATACTGCATATATTACTCTGTATATATGTACGTATATGAGAAATTAGAAAGCAAGGTACTATGTTAATTAACATCATTTAACATCAACTTGGAGGAAGAATCCAGGAAAGTTTTTTAACTGTGTGTACTGTCTTCACTAATGCATATCTAAGGAACCTAGAGAGAAAAAATCTATTGACTTATTAATTATCAAAAGATATGAAACTAAAATCTCTGAGATATACTGAAAGGAAATAAATTACAACGGACATCTAAAACATCCATAAAAATTCAAACAAATGAATAACATAAACTTTTCCTAACTCCTTCTGAAGAAAACTACAACAATCTGTTAATTCCAAACAGGAAGGCAGTTCTTTAATACACAATTATTCCAAAACTTTAGAAAAGAGTGAAAGTTGATGAAGTTCATAGCATGCAAATAAGAAGTAATCAGAATTCCTCAAGCAAGAGCAGATTCTGAAAAGCTGACTTATTGAAGAAAAACAGAAGGTAAGTATTATTCAAGAAGTATTAAAAACCTGTAAATAAAAATCATAAAACACACACACAAAAAGATGGTCAAATACCAACTAAATTGATATTCATAACACACCATAAAATAAGACAATAGAGTAGGAAGTCAACTGATGCTGATTAATATCAAGCCTGTTTATTAATTCAAAAGATTACCAATAATTGCAACACAACAACAAGTCCAACATGATGAATGCAAGTCCACAAGCAATGAGACAGTCAGAGTCTCCATTCACAACACAGTCTGACTCTCAACTGAAATTGATTATGGTAATAACTTACTTGTAATTCATAATATCATCAAGAAGAGTTCCAACTTTTTCTCGAGCCTTGCACAAATATTCATCTTGCTCAGTCAATGTGCGATCAGCATGCCATGCTTGCAGTTCTAGCCAGATTAAATCCTTTAACTCATTCTGCCATAAATGCTCCTCTTGGCTGAGCTGCAAAATTGTAAGTAAAAATACAATGTATACATACAACCTGGAAAAATTTTGTTTCTTTTCTGCTTATCAAAGAAAATAGCAATGCAAAATAATCAGAAAAAATATATTGATGACACTGGTCAACAGATCATGAACTAACCTGCCTCCAAGGAAGTTTGTCAGACTGCTTTTCTCCAGCACCAGTTCGAATTATATGAGCTATTTTATTGAACAATTCTAACCTATTTTCTTGACCTGCAACTAGTTTTTTCCGCTGCAGTATCTTTTTTTGGCATTCTACTGGTTTTGAAGTCAAGCTCATGAAACGGTTGCATGATTCCACCTACACACAGTAACACCATTTTGAAACTTTCTGTTGCATGCAAAGTGAACTTTTGTCTAACACCATGATAATGACACTACTGTGCTTTCAAATTACACTGGACAAAGTACCATTGCCAAAGGAGTAGACCACATCTGTTGTACCTTGATGCCATGTTGTGGATGTGTAGCAGGTAAACTTTCTGTCTTCTCTTCTTCTTCTTCATTCTCTGTAGGAGCTTGTGAATTATGTCGAACTCCCACCTGTTCAAGTTTCATATCTCTTTCAGACTCTCTAAGTAATTTCATAGATCTTTTTGTTCGCTTATTAGACTCGGTGAGATACTGATCTAAAAAGGGAATAAAATACTTCATTAAATTCATTCATATTTCACTTCCATTATACACAGATACTTACAAATCTTTATTCTAAAATGAAGGGCTCAAAAGCAGATAGTCATATACCACTTCAAACTGAAATTAAGTTACAAGACATCAATAATATAAGACCCCATAACTACAACTAAAACGATTCTGTAGCAAACTTTATTGTATTTCTCAACCATTTCTTTTCAAAATTTAAAACTTCTTACAGGGTCAACTTGCAAGGCTGAGGGCCATAGAGATGGTAATATCTCTCTCTCTTTTTTTTTTCTTCTTCTTTTTTTTTTTTTTGCCAAAATGAGTTACTTACCCAACCCCTTCAAATGCAAAAAAATTATAAAGATTACTATATGTTAATTAAAAACTAAAAGGAATGCTGGATTACATTCTATTAATTTTTAAATGCCAGATAAATTCTTAATAAGCACTTTCAGCTTGAAAAACAGGTTGATCTTTCATATAATTGCCTAAATTAACCTACACAGGGATATAAACAGAATACAAGATACAATGTACAACACCTGCATTTCTCTTCAAATTATTATTTCTCAACAACATACTGCAAAAATTTCACACAAAATGGACTCTCACAGCAAGGTATTCATCATATATAAGAATTCACCTTTGGACTAGAGCATCAGTTGGTACCAAGAGAGAAATCTACTGTGCGAACAGAGAAGATAAGAGCCAGTCAGTCTTCTAAGATTTCACCTTCAAGGTCATGTTTACCTAACACCTCTTCCTCTTGCATGAATAATGATTCTCATTTTTACATAAGCATTGATAATATATTTATAATTATGAAAAAAAATTAAGAAAATGAAAACCTACTTTATTCATAAACATTGTTATTCATCAATTGATATAAATTGAAAGACTTCATCTTCTACTTGTGTAAGTGGGTTAAGAAAAAGGACTTTTCAGTCAACACACCACTTTCCTTCAACAAGTCATTACAGAGAATTGAAGTACAAGAAATTATGCAATAATATAGGTCTATTATTATGCAATCCCATAATTCCTTAGTTAATATATAATAATCTGAATGTTCCTTAATTAATATATAATAATCTGACGAGAAAAAAAAATTCAGCCAACAAAATAAAGGACTTTACAGAGTAACTTGTTAAGAAAATGATTTATACAAATTAAAATTCACTGAAAAAGATTTTTTTTTACAAGGAAGTAGAAAATTAATAGGCCCAATTCACAACATACTAACATATACATACCAATTTGTAAACAATATAACGTACAAAATGTATGCTTCCCATTTAACAACATAGTTTTGATTTATAACATAAAATTTATCTTAAAATTAGCCTTTTGAGGCATTTATTGAGCTTGGTTGTATTCTAGGCGGCATACACGTAAGTTACTAAAACACATACCTTCTTCATAGTGTGAAGTTTCATTGGTTTCACATTTTTCCATTAAACCATCCAAGTAAATACTATCAAGTGTATTTCGTCTTCTTGTTCTCATTGTGTAAAAAACTTTTGGGGACTTTTTGACACCACTGAACAAAATGAAAACATTTATATTAAATGCAAATTTTATAAAAATATTACAGGGCCTTCTTTGTATTATTATTTTAATGTTTAATTCTAAATTGTACTTATTTTACATAATAAAGATTTACACTCCCAATACTAATCAATACATTCACAATTATTTGGAATACTTGATTTAAAGAAATGTTTCAAGATATATTGACAGAGTTCTTACACACAAATCAACGAATGTCGATTCACTTATGTAATCACAATTTTTCTTAAAATTCTCAGTAACAAACCTTTGCTCTTCTTTTTCACGATGCCGGCGCTCTTTGCGGCGGATGCGAGCGCGTGGTGGAGTTGTTCCGTATGCATCTGTCATTAAATTCAAGTAATCCTCTTCAGTAAGAGGCATTCCTTCCAAACTTCCCTCAGCACTGTCCAAAAACCGCGGGGACAGGCGATCCATACTCCCGTCCGCTTCGCATTCTGACTTGACAGAACCTCTAAAACAAATTCCAATGTGGTAAACACATTCTCATTAGAGGTAGAGGTAACGATTGCACAACAAAACGTCAGCCCGGTATTTTACCTTTCATCGTCAGAACTTTCAGGACTAAAATTTATTTCTATACCAACTCTCTTTTTCCAATCACTATCGGCCATTTATATTTCCCACTGTATCTCTCAATGAATTCACTAATAACTTGAAAAATTACGAAACACTCAAAACAAATCTGTCAACGACCTCGGACAACTCTGAAGCATGAGTGAGCACCCGGAGGATGTAAACAAATGACTAGCGGGACAAGTACGCTGTTACCAACCTATAAATTTAATAACTGTTAGGACAAAGTGGATCACGGAAACACCAGCGAATGTAGACAGCCAATTTCAGTAAGAATACATATAATTCAATCGCTACTGTAATAATTTAGTACAAACACTGTCAGGCACTTGAAATGACTTACCTGAAATCTGCGATTACGTTGGAACCATTGCTTGATGACCATTAGTTCAACCATTAAAAATGGGAGATCCCTATAAGATTTCCTATCGTTTAGAAACACCGATTGGGATGTTTTCACTCAAAATTAAATACTGACCGCGAAATAACATTACTTTTCCCTATTTTTCAAGTTATTCACTTTTCCTAATCCTGTGGGTTCTTGATGCATATGGGAGGCATAGGAAAATATGAATAACATCAGGCTAATAATGGACAACATTAAGATCAAATACTTTATTTTTCAATATCCCTATCTCTATACAGGAAGTACTATAAAAAAACTAATCTCTTATTCTTTCCTGTAAATTTTGCACTTTTTTGCTTTTGTATTACAGTTTAACCACAATTCCAAAAATCACATGAAATTAGTACAAATGGCCAATATTGACACTGCTTAATCTAAATGTTAAAAGTTGCAGGGATGGTGTATTATTTTCATAGTGCTACATATAATCCCATACCAAAAAAAAAGATAACAGAATTGAACTACTTGCTAAGATGTCGATCAAAATTCTTTAGTATCATAGTTTTTATTTATAATGGTTGAAGCCAATATAAAACTAGCATTTTCATTTGTTAACAAACTTTTCAACAGGAACAGGTAAGTATGAATTGCTGATCTTACAGTGGCAGACTCCTGCTGCACACAATTATAGTTTCAAAATGCAAAATCAAAATCTCCTCATGAGACAATATACAGCAGGCACAAAGGTTGAGGTTTACTACTATTGGCACAAAGTAGTAATGATCACAACTGCAATCTTCCTGATGTGTTTAAATCCTTTCCGTTTTACTTCCCAAAATTTCATGAGCAAACTTCAATCAACATTTCTTCACGTAAGTACCAATAACAGCAAACTATCCCTTACTGCTATGTACAATGTCCAAAATAAGCTGCATATATGACTATTCTTCACTTTTTTTATGTACACATTGAATATCAATATATTTCAAAATAATTCAGTGCTCACTATTGCTACACATCTGAAAGATTCTCAGAAAATGTTTTGAAAATAATAATATTCTCAAGATCTCTCATTTATAAATTTACACTCAATGTATCACCCAAACTAAATTTTATTTAATCATAAATATATTTTTTCAAAATTTTCCAAACACAACATGCTGCTCTTTTCAATACTAAGGACTGTTTGTATTTTAAGGTGTATGCAGCATTATTTTAGACAATTCATTAAGTTCTTCTACAAGGCAACATGGTTGTTCATAAAGATTTAACCACTTATATAAATACCTATATAACTGCTTCATTGAAATAGTCAATTATCAACAAAGTTGTTGAGTTTATTTGTGAATGAATGTTTAATGAATGAAAAGGGAAGAAATTGCTTCTTTGCACCAACATGACTGCAAATCTATGTACAATTTTAAGCACCAATAAGTATTACTCGTATTACCTACATAGGTGATGGGACAGTATAGTAAGATGGAAGTCCTGGAAGAATGATGTAGATGGCACTGTTTAACCTGATTATTTTGTAAGCATCCAAAAATATATTCTTTATGTAATTAACAGGACAAATGCATAAAAACAAGCAACAAGATAAATGCAGCAGAAAGAACTACAGAATAATTAGATACTACATATAAAATTTCATAACTCAGTACCTATTACAGGCAAAAAAATGAAGTCTTGAAAGAGAATCAAATAATCTGGAATGCTATGGATAAGATGACCCTTATGCAATATATGTGAATGATGAGTATATCAAATTAGATTGAATTATTTCAGAAGGGGGAATTCTTAAGTTGGCAGTTTGCATACATTCAATATTAAAAATAAACACAGTACTTCCCCCTTCTGCACTTCTTGCATAAGTTACCATTTCCAAACCATCAATGACTTTTGAAGCCTGATTTCCAGCATAAATATCAAAACAAAAGAAAAAACAGGGCAATGAAGAAAAATCATTCTTTCACAACTTAACAGAAATTGCACATTTGTATTGTGCAGAATATTTTACTTCTTGATTCAATCAGGTTTCAACAGTACAAACTAAAGTTCTTGCTGAACAATAACTCTGATCAATATGTATTTAAATTTACATAAAATGCCCTGTATTTTCTCTAGTTAACAATATCAACCAATACACCTTTCATACAGTCTTTAACACTTTCTTCTTCAATAGAAAAAGACATTAAGTTAAACATACCAAGGCCACAATTTGCAATTAATATATAAGATATGTCCACTCCTATTACACCATTCTCTTGCTAATGCACCGAGCCATCTGCCACCACTTAATAAGCCATTAGGACTTCACTGATTGCATGTAATGTTTATGTTTGCATATTTCTATAAAAATGTCATTTGTTAACAATACAGTAATTTCACTTCAGTTATCATATATCAAAAATGAAACATTATATTTTGATCTAGATAACCAATTAACAAATGACTCATGCAAATATATAGACAAAGTCTGGCATTAACTTCTGAACTTCTGAACTTTTCTGTGTAACCAACCACAACACTTGGCTCCTCACAAAAGCAGAAGTGGAAAACTATTTTCATATTACATGTTTTCAAACTGGTCTACTCGTCGCTTCGTGTTACCTTTGCGAATTTCACGCAGGGTTTTATATTTATCTCGCCCTTGACGAACATTTTCGCGATGAATCTTGTCCATAGCAGTTTCTTTTGTTTCATCTCTTGACTGAGCCAAATCTTGTTTCAATGCCTGCAAGAGAGGAAGGGTTAATTGGTCAATCAAATGAAAAGCAACAATTTCCATTTGAAGCACACAGGACAGTCCTTACTGTTAACTAAATCAAACTTTCATTCATAATTAGAACTACATTAAGTAATAATAATAATAATAATAATAATAATAATAATAATAAACCTACACATTTGATCAATAAGATCATGACAACATTAAAAAATGTGAACTATTTCTAAAATAAGTAATATAATTCATAATTTTAAAACAAATTTAATGCTGAATTAACAAATACGTGATTAAACTGGTATGAAATACATTCAGTAAAGATCAAAACAGATTACCTCACTCTACTATGGGAAAAATCACTACCAAGTGTTTTTCAGAATTAGTCAAGCAACAATTGTGAACACTAAATGTCACTGAGGAAATTAAATGCTACATTATTCATGACCACCATTTGGATTAACCGACATCAAATGTTTTCAATTTCTGAAGTTATGCACGGTGAGCCGTGGAACATTGCATATCTTGCAATACAGTTTTGATTCATTTCTCAAATATATGAGGAAATTGGGCTAGAAGCTACACGTATTGTTTTTGTTATTACTTTTATTTTATGATTAACAGAAATTTCGAATCGAATGATATTCCCTGAATGTTCATTATTTCTAAGCATTTACATATTTCATTATACCTTCTTTCTTTAATTTTCCCAAAAAGCTGACCTCTCCACAAGTTACTTCTCTTGATACAAATAAAATTTTGGCATGCCATGCTTCACAAATGTTGTTTTCCTTCTTAATTTCAAATCGTAAGTGAATAGTAACCAATAATAAATTAATTTCAAAAAAATTCATAGAGCCAATGTTAGTAGTTATCTCTTGCATTTCATCATTGCTCAAAAAATGTATCTAGTATCTAATTAAATTTTCAAGTTTTATCACAGCCTTCAGAATTTAATCTCTTACTCTATTGTTTGAATTACCACCCCCCCCCCCTCTCTGACTTTTGGAGTAAAAATTATTGGATTCTTTTGTGTACAAATACATAAAATTCTCTATCCATTCCACAATATTTAAATGGAATCTTCTACACATCTTCAATGCGTGTTCACAAGGAAGACAATATTTCATTGAAGTTCGAAACCAGAAGTCACATCAATACTACAAAATATTTACCTTTAACTGATCGTATAAACGCTCATTTCGTTCAGCTAATGTCCGTCTTTCTTCAACTGGATCAACAATATTGTCATCAGTAGCCAAGTCTCTGCTGACATCACCATTTACCATCTCATCATCTTCATCATGCTCATTTTCCTCCACATGATGGTGCTGGGGTGTGGTGGTGGCTGCCAGAAGAGCCTGGTTTACTTCCTCTTGTTTCCGTCTTGCTTCTTCAACCTCCGCCTAAAACAACCAAAGCAATTAATTTTGCTTTTTGCCTGGTTCACTTCTCCAAAAAGCGGCAAGAAATTAAGCTAGAAGAGCTCAATTTCTGCCAGAAGAGCCTGGTTTACCTCTTGTTGTAGCCGTCTTGCTTCTTCGACTTCCGCCTAAAACAATCAAAGCAATGAATTTTGCTTTTTGACCTGCTCAATCCCTTTAAAATATTACAATAAATTTTGAAGTTCTGTACTTAAAAGTAGCTTTGATGTTTGTAATAACATAAAATGGTGTATATACAAAAAAAGTTAAGTAATAATTTATAATTAGTAAGATTAATTATATGAATATTTCAACTTACGTCTACTTCAACAGCAAAAGCAACATAGTTTGAGCCTATGATTGTATTGCCCAACATACAACAGATACATGTGTAAAACTGAGATAGGTCTCTTGACAAAAGTTGTTTCAATATATTCATAAAGAAGTTAGCAAAGAGCTGAATTGCAGTACAATTTTCTCAGCACATCACTATCCTTAGAAAATCAGACAAGATCATAAAGTCCTTTTCTCCCGCCCTTTTGAACCCACAAACTTAGGTATAATAGTCAGATTCACTAACCATTATACCATTGCTGCCGTGCATTTAGGCAGTAGTTTATGAAATTTTATTTTATTTCTTGTACAACTAATTATAACTAGGTAGTGTTGCTGAAATAATTCATAAAGGAATTAATATTTGTCAGTTTTGAATTTTATTTAAGCAATAAATCATTAAAAAATACTATAAAAATATGAGCAATATGATATTTTAAAGAAGTGATAAAAAAAACTAGAAATTGCAAAAATCCTACTAAAAATTAGAAATATGACCCCATTTGCAGCACTGTGTAAAAGTTGCCAGTAAAAAAAGTCCAAGTTAAATTTCAGCCATGCAAGAAAACCTAGACCGATATTAACAAAATGGGGAGGGTACTATTTTTTATGTACTTTCTAGTAAACTTCATAGTTTACACAAAAATTAATGATGGTAAAGGGAACAAAGTCATAGAAACGAAGACTAAAACAAGCTAAAGCAATCTTCTAGACCAACTCTATTGAGAAAAAATCTAATTCTGAGAATTATTCTAACATGTTGCTAAGAGCAGAAATTTCATTGAGGACAAACTCTGCTTGAAAATGGCCACAGATGGAACAGCCACATAAATGCTTATATAATCATGACACTACTTCAATGCACTACATTGTGTCAAGAATTTTTTACATAGTAGTGAAAAAATTGAAGTAGAAAAACATCCTGTATTGAGTGAAAAGTAGAGTGGTTTTAGATAAAGACGATCATGCCTAGATAACACCCAATGTAGTAGATAAATTACAGAGAAACATAAAAGCAAAAATATGATATATGTATCCTTTAGAGTCTCCCAGAAAGCATATGGTAGTGTCCCAAGAAAAAAGATATGGGAAGCAATGAGTAGAGTTGATATGCAAAGAAAATTGATCAACCTGGTTAAAAAACTTTACAAAAAACACTGAAAAACAATTTAAAATTTGAGATAAATTAACTAGAAGCTTCTGATAATCAAGGGTCGAACACAAGGGTATGGGTTAGCTCCTATTTTGTTCAATGTGTAGCAAGAACAAGGCTTAAATAACTGGTATAAGAACTGTTCTGGCATGGGAATAAAAATTGGAGATTATACTTTTCACTCCCTTCTATTTGCCAACGACTAGATAATCTTTGCCCAAGATGAGGAGGAAATGGTGTATAAGCTCAGAGAATAATAGAATACAATAAATGGGGATTAGAAATATATTTCAATAAAATCGAATGTATGTGCATTGGACAAGCAATAACAAATATAATGTGAATGGTGACAAAATTAAAATTGCAACACCTTTAAATATCTTTGATAAACAACTCTGGTACATGCATCACAGACTGAATCATGAGTAATGAGGAAGAAAGCAACCACAGCTTTACACAGCATATTATAGAATAGCAACATCTGCCAAAAGAAAGATTTTTTAACTGTGTTGTAGAAAATATATCCCTGTAAGGAGCAGAAATGTGGCCACAAGAGACTATTTAGAACAGTAGAAATGAAGTACAGGACACAATGCTTACAATTTATTCACGGGGGGAGAGTGCAAACTGAAGAAATATGAAGAAGGATGCTTATAATTTGCTCTGTTGTTAAGACCTTGAAAAATAGAGCACTTCAATGGTTTAGACATGTTCAGAGAATGTTTGAAAATAGATGTTCACAAAAAATGGCAACCACTTGAGAGACAAAGAGGAAGATCAGTTTTAGAAAGGGGAAAAATACATCCAGGAAGCCGTGGATAGATGCCTCAAACCAGGAGATTGGGACAACCGAAAACTGTGGACAGCAGAATCAGCAAGCTCATAAGGCGAAAATGGTGAAGAAAAATCCAAAAATAAATATCTAGCTTTAGAAATCAAATTATTAGTATTTCAATACATTTAACAGTAAAATTACAGAAAAAATAAAGTTTCGTTATTTTACAAGTAACTTTTAGCCTAGTTTTTAATGGGTAATCACAGAAGATCATTTACAATAGGAACAAAAATCCCTGATATGAACAATGAAGTTTGTCCTCTCTGTTGTAATAATGTCACACATGTATCCCCTCCTCCCAACAGAACTCAAATTATATAATTACTGTATCAGTAAAACTATGTATATTTCAGCAAGTTACCTGAAGACGCCTAGTTTCTTCATCCTTTTGATCAACTTCTGTCTGTATTCTCATTACTTCTTCTTGTTTACTACGGATCTCCTCTTCTAATTTAGCACGCTCTGCAGCCTCCATATTCTTGCTTTCCTCCAATCTTTCCATCATTGCCTAGGAAAATGTTACAAAAATGTTATAACCAAATTACATTTTTTTATTAAATTTATGTAGAGGGATAACCATTTCCAATGTACCAATCTTAATTGAACAACATTAACTAACCATCAAAGTGAACGTACCTGTAATTCACCCTGTCGGGTCTCCAGCTCCTCCTTGGCTGCTTGTAATTGTTTCAATTGTTCCTCCAGACGGCGAATCATGTCTTGTGCTTCCTGAAGATCATGTTGGCGTTTCTCCATTTCCTCTTGCATGGAGCGTAAGCGTTCCTCATATTCTTGCTGCTTCTTTTCTGCTCGTTCTCTAGCTGCAATTTCTAACTGCAACTTTTCTCTGGAATGGAATTATATTAAAATAAATTATAAATTATAAATTATAATAAAAATAAACAACAATAAAAGAAGAACTCATTAGGAAAACTAATGTCATTCCTCAGTTAACAATATCTCTAATACATATCTAGGCAGATAATAGTGTTGACAGAATGTATTGCCAAGCATATTAATTTTTCAAAAAACTTAAATGGTAAAAACTACAAACCGTATCATAATACTGTATGAAGGATAAATGTATTATTAGGGCTATTACTATAAGGTCAAAATACATTTCCCCTCTTAATCCTGAGCATTCAAGGTTCAGTGGAAATTCAAATAGCACCCCAGTTTCCAAATACGAAAATGCATATCGCCTAGTAAATATTTGGCTTAAATTGGGTAAATATATACATTTAAACAAATCTTTCACATTTCACTAAATTTTATGTGAGTAAATTAATATTTTTAATATCTTCAGGTTTAATATTAAGGAGTTTTTGGAATTATAGTGTAATTACACAGTGGTTGGGCATACATCACATGTTATTGTGGCTTCCCTGATTGAGTAGTGTACCCGGTTCCCGACCTGTCAAAACGTCAGAGAGCAATTTCTAATAGTATTGTAGTTTCAGGCAAATATACATTCATAATAACTGTAGCTCTTAAGCATCACCAGTTTGCACAGATAAAAAGTGCTGAGCAATGAGAATGAAGTCACATTTTACTTTGAAGTATTTAGCTGATCTCTGTCTTATTAACTGGTTTTCATATGAATAATAAAGAAATATTTTTGTCATTTTAACATGTATTTTTAACTTTGTAATCACATAAAAAACAGAAAATTTGTTTTTTATCACTTTAAAGGTCCTAGTTATCACTTTTCTTGGAGTTCTCGAAAAAATACCTTATTTATTTCATATAATCTTACCTCTGTTGCTGTTTTGCAATCTTTTCTTCTCGAGCTTGTGCCTTCATTTGCTGAACATCAATAGTGTCAGGTTTCCTTCGCCTCATATACAATTCATGGTTGCCCATGCAAAGGGCTAAGATTCTTTTGTTAATACGGACTCTTGGAGCCAAGAAAACAAAGTCGGGTGCTTTCTTATCAATAGGTTTGATGACAAATTTTCTATCGTTGAAGGAGATATTACGTATCTCAGACCATGGAAAACCAATTTTGGGTGTAAGCCTGTAATCATGACATTGTGTCACAAGAAGTTAGTATTCATAAAGCTTGCTTTTCAAAATTGCTAGTATGCCGGCATATGAAGCAAATGAAATTAACTTACTTATCATCTTGTTCATATATATTCAGACCCAATGCATCTACACCAAGCCAAAGATCTGTTCCTTTCTTGTTGCGAATTTCAAAGTAATTTACTCCGTACATTTCCAAATCCTGAGCTATCTTCAAATATTCCATCATTGAATCTTCTCTGTAAAATAATATAGAATAATAAAAATAAAGCCATAAATAACAATGCATGTGATGAGTTTTTTCTTTGAACAAATCAATAAAATTAACTTTACCGCAACATTCCTTTATGTTCATTCCACCATGTAGTAATGCTTTGTTCCCATTCCTCTCTTGACATTTTATGCTGATCCATAACTCTGCAAATGTAAATCGTGATTTATAAATATATATAACAACTTATTAGAAATTTCACTATTATTAGAAAGCAACACCACTAACAAAAAACATTTTTATTAATTTACAATTTTAGTAACAAATGTACACAATGTGATAAAATTACAACTACAAAAATTATTAGCAAAGCAGACCATTTGCAGTACACCATTTAACAATTTTTAGTAAGAGTCATTAAACACTAACTCTATAATGACATTAATTAAAAAGTACAAACAGCACGAATGATTAACCATGAAATGAATTTAAAGAATAAATTAATAAATGCTAATATAAAAATATTGATTTACTTTCCCCTAGTAAAAAATAAAAAATAGAAATTAAAAAATTTTAATTCCATTCAACACTTATACTACATATTGCTTACCGCTGAGGCAACAGACGATCATTTGTTAAGAAACCTGATGTGTGGACAACTTTGTTGTAGTCACCATGCCTGGCTTGGACTGCATACGATGCTAATAAAACTGACGTTTCAGGAGGGCAATATATTTCATCAGAAAGGATGGAATTCTTCACCTAAACAAATTAGAAGTGGAGTTTATAAATTATTAGCCTTAAATTGTTGTATTCTGCTGATAAATGATCTCAAATATAAGCAATGTAAGTGTGATAATCAATACTTAATTCTGTTTATAGTGTTTCAATCACATTATACATTTTAATTTCAAGTCCTTATTACATTTCTTTCTTCCAGAAGTAAGAAATAAATTATATTTAAAAAGGTCCAACACTACAACTAAAATATATAAATATATTATTGTCCAACTGCAAATATTTTATTTCAATGTTTGTGAAAATAATTTTATTATTTCAAATAATTCAAGAAGAAATTTAAATGAAACTCCAGTTGGGAACCGGCATTTAATAGAATATATAATATACTAAAAATTTATATTATAGTTTCTTTTCACTTTAATATATCTTAAAATATTAAGCAAACAAAAAGAACAAAACATTACCTGGAGATAAAAAAGCCTAAGTGTGATATCCTGAATAAGCTCTTCAGCAACATCTTCGGGGTAAAATTTGGCACGGAACTTGAACTGTAGAGGATTCTCCTTCTTTACATCTTGGCTCATCACCTAGATAAAAAGAAGTACTTCATTCAATACATTCAATAATATCAACAAAAACAAACTTTTTTAATTGTAAAGTACTCGAGTTCTGTGCAAGATTCTCTCTTTAAACATTTATATATACAGCAGAAGAAGTTCATTCCTCCAATGCAAAACCATTTAGCCAACAAGCATCATGCAAAACCCAACAAGCACAAGACAACACTTACCCCATACATCAAGGCTGGCTGTTCTCCACACAAATGTGAGAGGCATGCATTGAAAAATCAAAATATTATCAGTTTCACCACATGCATATTTGGCAGACAAAATTAATAAGTTATAAGTATTAATGAGTTAACATGCACACAAATTGAACAACATTCAATTTCAATTGCACATTATTTCTGCAATGGATAATGGAAATGTTCAATAAGGAGGAGAATAAAAAAAGCTTGAGGCAAACCTAATCACAATCCAACACACTGTCAACATTAAAAAGGTTTTTATTCTTATTGTAATATTAAGAATCTTTAAATTTATTTCTTTTATTATTTTTGCTTTATAGCTATTAACCATTTAACTGCCAAATTATTCCATGCATTACCTTCAATTGCAAGTGCCCATTGTTTGTGTGGGCACTGTCATTGTTGGAGCGCTCTGGCAATTAATTGTTTTGTTGCTAAATTATACAGTGCATCAGGAAATTCTCTCGGCAGTGGCACCTTGCTGATGAGAGTGCTAGTGTCATTAAGTATGTTGTTGCATGAGCAGCAGCTTCTAAAAACTAAATTGCGTAGTCACAACAATGATAACAGCTGCTGGAATTATTGTTACCTTCACTTGTATCCCGGTGATCTTGCTGCTACCAACATAAATGCAAATTTTAATCCGAGTCCCTGGCAACTCGGTGCAAAGAGACTTTCCTGGCGCACTATACAACTAGAGCACTACAAAGCACCATCATTTGCTTTACACGTGTCTCTCCCCTCCAATTTTTATTATTAATTTATTTACATCAATACAGTTGAAAACTATGTGTCGGGCTACGGGGATAAGTTCATTTGAAGTTACATTTATGTCTAGAAGGAAAACAAGAGGCAACCTCAGTATTTGCTCAAGAAACAGGGAAACTGGATGAAAACCAGATCGAAATGGAGGTCATTGACCAGATGCTGAAGTACAATACTTGTTGCAGGTCAATAACCAGGTTATTTAATATTAGAATTATGCAATCCAAATGGTAAATAATACACTAAATGTTAAAATTAGTATTAATTTCCTTTTCAATGCTTCGTATAGTCTCTAATTATATAGAAACAGTTGTGCACAAAGAAAGATTTTACTTGGGACTTAAATTTTTGTATTGAATTTAACTGTTTAATGTTATCAGGCAACTACACTTGGTAACACATCTGACTTAACCACATTATAATATATTAATGAAAACAAATTTTGATCTTGTTTAAATTGAAAGTTTTAAAAATGAAAATACACAGTACTCGGATGAAATTGTAGAAAAAAAAAGTATAAATAAAAAATATACAGCAAGTACAAAAAACTCAAACTTACCAAGGGAACCAAGAGAGAGAACTTACCAAAACATGATAAGATTAATAATTAAATTTTAAACAATTAAAATGAAATCAAAAATAAACAATTGAGGAAAAGCATTCCCATTGTAAATTAATACATCATACCACCCTCGAAGCAAGGATATCCTTTTTTGGGTCTTATCATTCTTGTTATATTGATGTAGGCTCAAATTTTGTTTAACCCTTACTTCGCCTTTTTTTTATACCTTCAATGGGCAATTTTACGTTTACCGATACCGGCACGATTTAAGCATAGTATCGATACGATATCGGTAGGATATTTTCACATAAGACGCATACGCGCACGTTTTCTTGAGCCTCCGAAATCTATCTCCACTCCTTTACCAACATTAGTTGAATTAAGAATAATAGCAACGAGCGTTGTAGACCAAATCTAATAACCAGAAAAGTTATCTCCTGTGTAATAGAGACTATTTTGCATCGAAAATCAAACTACAAGTGTAATATAAAATTCCTTTTGAGAAAATAACCCAACACCCCACTCCTCTCGCAACTAGCGAATCGAGGGCTCAAGAAAATGTGCGCGGATAATAGATGCCGTCGAGGGCGTCATGGTCGGAGCTAAACTGTTTTGGTTTATTTGTTAAAAAAGATGCAAAAAAACTAAGGGGGAAATAATTGCTCGCATCTATCCTCAAAATATTCAAAACCTTTCTGCCAATTTTTGTCCTGAAGTATTTTGTTTTGGTTATTTTCATGTGTTTTACGCCAAATCTATGGCTTAGATTTCACTAATTCTATTAATGTATTTGCATCGTATTTAAAACCGGCCATTTTCGTTTGTTTCAATCAAACAATGGCACAACACCCTCAAATCCCCCCCCCCAAAAAAAATTTACAAAATCGTCGACGTCACGAGCAGGGTGACTGCTACTCGCCGACAAGTCGTTGCCTGTAAACGACACGGTACCGACACATATCAGCGGGTCTGAAGGCAGTAGGCGTCCTCGAACTACGAACATAGTTGTGCCGGTAAACGCCCGATAGTCGACGACGATGCATTCATTCCCTCAAATGATACGAAGTTGACACGGAGCTCTCGGAGAAGCATTCAAAGCAGCAATTCCGAATTGCTCTGCCTCCAAGGGCAGTGGCGAGCCTCCGTGCCCGGCCGCGTTTTACAACCCCCCTCCCCCCGTCGCTGCGCTGTAAAGGAGCACCTTGCCGCTAGAATACGCCGCTATAGCGCCAGGTACTTTATGGTGCGCCCACACATCCGCCTGCGGACCTTCAGGCGCGCAACCCCCAGACAAGCCAGCGGACGACCCCAGTTACGAAATTTACATATAGTTACGCTCACCTTACTTTCAGAAAATTAATCAATCACTCCTATTAATGAGAATATTTGCAATAATGGCAGTTTTCCAGCTGTTGCTACAGGCACGGAAGTAGACCACTATATTAATTTCACGTAGATGACCCAAATACCATCAGTATGGCCATACGTATACTTCTATACTTTTTAATTCGATTGCCGCTTCAGGCTGCATGCTTGTGTCCTATAAAATATTCATTTTTATTTACTAGCAAGCTTTCAAAGCATTTGAAAAGTGAGAGAACGGATACTTGGTTCTCCATTTATGAAGATGAATAATCTTAGTTCACCATTCGTAATTAGGCACGATCCCGCTCTTGAAAACCCGAACACCAGAAGTCAAATAGACGCGCGGTAGGAGACAATGTCTGAAGATACCTAGTTATTTTATGGAACAGGTTGGCGTTTTCAGTTCTCGTTCAAACCGGTCAGTGGATAACTGAAGTGAACGACCCCAAAATCATTTCGCCGTGGCACCGGTTTTACGTCGCAGTTCAACGGGTCATCATTTCACCAGGGGCGATGTCGAAGGCTAGGAATATACTCTGCAGCGGAAACAATTTCCAGCACATACAATGCAATGATGAAAAATGTATTTTCCTCAAATATACGAATATAACAAAGAACTATTTGTGTATCAAAAAGTTGCAAGTAAACGTACCATAATTTACTAGAGGTTGAATATTTAAAGGGTCCAGCTTCTTTCCATACGTATTCGTACGGATAACCGTACTTATATTTCCTGCTTTATAAATCTCTCATCTGGTCAAGAGACGCCAGTTTCCAAAAGTTGGAAAGAACATAAGTCCTGCATTAAATATTACATAAACTTCGTGCACAAAATTTTACTTTTGGAAACGGACAGACGATTTTTAGTAATCGCCGGCCGGTTACGTTTGAACTGAAATTGTGGACAACAAAACTGAAGGGATGTAACTAAAAATGCTCATTCTGGACTCACGCAGAAGAGGGAAATCTCAGAACAGAAACGTTCTCCCTACAGCAGTATTCCAGGCGATCGACCCCTCCCCAATCGGGAGGACGAACGGAACTTGGCGGGCCGTGGGCCATCCTGGACGCATCCCAAGTGGGCTTGTGCGCGGGCGCTGCTGCGCTGGGAAAGCGCTCACGTTGAGAGCCCAGCTGCGCGCGGGGGGGGGGGGTGTCAGCGTGACCAATGGCAGACCGCGCGCCGCTCCCAGTCATCGCCGCCGGCCATGCGAGGAGTTCGGCTGCCGCTAATTGCTGTCGCCAACGCGCGGGTTTTGGTCCTCGTCATCGGTCGCTCGGCACGGCGGGACAAAGCTGACAGTTTGGTGTGTCCATAAACGAGAAATGGCCCGAAAACTGAGATAAAAACGCAAATTTTCGAAGAGTTTAGCCGTTACAGCAATTACGCGATAAATCAAAATATTTTGATTGTCTTATGACTAAAATTATTTAAGTCTCTGGAATGAAACGATACGTGTAAACAGTACTTGGATACATCCAATATATCCAACAAACCGACAATAGGGAAATATTTTCTCCTGTGAAGAAATTTAGGTGGAAATTGTGAGGAAATGCTCTTCTGCATTAAAGTACGACTGTTGGCAAAGTCATAAAAGAATAAAATACGCAAAAACATCAGTTATTCCACCGATTTGGCTCGTGGAATGAGTTCTCTTGAAACCCATCGAACCCGGATTTATGAGTAAAGAAAGTAACTTGCAGGCCAGCGAGGGCGGCGACTTTGTCCAGTGGCCCGTGGGCGAGGGGTCGCGGGGCGGCGCCAGTGAGAAGCGCCGGGGAGAGGCGCACAACGCAACGATTCATCGGCGCCAGCGGAAAGGTCGCGCGAGGCGCTATCGGAAGGGCACGACGCGGCGCGACGCAGCGGCCCCGCCCTGCCCGGCCCGGCGCCGCCGGAAGCCCCGCCGCCGCAACTGCCGGGAAGCGGCTCCACCGCGCCCCTCGGCGCCTCCACGCCGCAGCTCCACACACACGACCGTCACGCGACCCAATTGGTTAAGCGCGAGGGGAGGAGCACGTCGGGAATGCCTTCACAATCTTCTCGAAACACTTACTAAAACGAGATGCCTTTAGTAACTTCGAGT